GCATGAACGGGGGAGGGGCAGAGAGAGAGGGAGACACAGAATGGGAAGCAGGCTCCAGGCTCTGAGCCATCAGCCCAGAGCCCGACGCGGGGCTCGAACTCACGGACCGCGAGATCGTGACCTGAGCCGAAGTCGGTCGCTTAACCGACTGAGCCACCCAGGCGCCCCCAGGTTAATTTCTTTTTAAAGATAACTCTGTTTCTCAGGATGTTGCACAAATCAGAATTAATACAGATCTGTGAGTTACTCGTCCTTTCTGGTAGATCAGCATCTTTGCAGATGAGCCTTTCCTTCAGAAAGAAACATTAACAGAAATGTACCAGCTGGGAAGAGAGCTGTGTCAGCGTCCCACTTACTACTCACTGATTATGAACCTCAGGGGCCCTGTGCCTGGAACACATGGCTTGTTTTCAGCTGTGTTGATCCTCTGTGTCTGTGGAGACTCTGTGGAGACTCCCCGGCTCTGAGGGTCTTCGCTCCCTCTGCTCCAGCCCGGAAGCACCACCTGGGCCCTGGGCTGTTCGGAGAAGCTGGAAGCTCTGGATCACTGCCTTTATAAAGTAATAACGCTTTATTGGATTCAGTTGTAGAGTGAGTGATGCGTATACAAACTGTTGCGAAAATGGGTGCCAGCCTCAGGCCACAGGCAGCCGCTAGTAGCCTCCATAACCTTTAATGATCGCTGAAATCGCCTGGGTGATCATCACTGAGCCAGTGGGCGAAAACAACATTGAGTGTAATGATCAGAAGGAGGCCCAAGACCAGAGCCCAGATGTGCAAGACTTGGCAGTGGAGACGAAGGCCTGGGCCCCCCACTCACTCACCTGCCATCCTCTGGTCCCCAGACTTCAGGGAGTAGGAGAATGACACAAAACCCAGGCGGCACAGGGACCAGACGGTGTGGTCAGGCATGGAGGTCTTGCTGTGGATGTTGATCATTGTGGTTGTCACGGGGGCCTAGCTCTGAGACACCCCGTGGGCAGCCACCTCGTGCTCCTCCTTGAGCATCTCATAGGTTGGGGGGATGCCAGTGTGGGCACCAGGGAAGAAGGGCTGGGAACAGCTGTCAAGGACAGAACTTTTAGCAAGAGAAGAGACCGTGACGGTGCTCGTTGTCAATTCACGTTGTCTTTCTGGACACCCAACAAGTACCTGCTGTCTGTAGTCACCTGACTTGCTTCCTCTCCAGGTTGTAGAAGGAGTCTCTGTCTTATGGAAAATGCAGGAGAGTATTAAACAGGAAAAATGACCTCCAGACCTTTCTCTTTCACACCAGCTCTTAGCAGATCCCCTGCCCCAGCCCTGTCTGTAGTTCTTGCTCCCTCATCCTACACAGGAACGTTTGTTTGAACTTGCTAACATCTTTCTTTCTTTCTCTTTCTCTCTTTATTTCAAGAGTAGGGGAGGGGCAGAGAGAAGGGGAGAGAGAATCCCAAGCAGACTCTGCACTGTCGGTGCTGAGCCCAAGTCGGGGCTCGAACCCACGAACCCTGAGATCATAACCTGAGCCAAAGTCAGACGCTTAACCGACTGAGCCACCCAGTCGCCCCTGAACTTGATAACATTTCCCCTCTAGGCTTGTCTGTATCTTTTTACATCTTGTATTTAAAGAGCCCATATTGCAAGCATTTTAGAATATAAAAGCAACTTCTAAAAACATGGCAGTCAGCTAGATCTCCCCACCCTCATCGAGCAACATTCAGGAATGGAGTAAGAGAAATTGAGCCTCTTAGTCTTTGGGACCGTTCCGTGTGGTGTAGGTGGAGGGATTTTGACTTCTCCGTCTTCTCCCAGGCCCTTAACATCATCAGCGTCTTGCAGGTTTCTGCCTAGAAGGTGGGCGGGCGACTTTTTAAAACTTTCTTTGTTGGTCCAACAGGTGACCTGCCCCAACATCTTCAAATAATGATCAACCTCCTGCGTTGTGAAGATCGGATCAAGCTGGTAAGAAGAGATGAGAGTGGCAAGTTTTAATTTTTAATCGTGCGATTTGGTAGGGAATTATTCACGAGCAGTGGGAAGCAGGGCATTTCTGTGCTGCAGCAAATTCTTCCCCCCATATTTCACAAAAGCCCAAGCCAGGTTTGCTCACCATCACCCACACTGTCTGGCGAAAGGATGTACTTTCGGGGTCAGTCTGTGCTGGGTTGAGATTTTCAGTCTCTGGACTTTATCTGTTCACCCATTTGAGCGACTTTGAGGGATTTCCTCCGAGCCAAGCACTGTCCCTCGTGCATGGATATGAACAAGACGTGAGGATTAAGAATCTCATCTTGATTCCTGAACTCACAGGGGGAAAGGTAGAGCACAAAAGTCCTTGGTGTTGATTTGGTGACGGAAGGGGCCACCATCCGGAAAGGCAGGCCAGTGAGAGCGTCTTTGCCCGTCTAGGCCGTGCGCTTGGAGAGCGCCTGGGCGGAGCGGGTCCGGTACATGGTGGTGGTAGACAGCAGCGGGCGCCAGGACACGGAGGAGAGCATCTTGCTGGGAGTCGACTTTTCTAGTAAGGAGAGGTGAGTCTGGTGGGTGCTGCTTCCCTTCTGCGGTGGGGGGACAAGGGCTGCTGCTGGAGAAAGGCGTCTGTGGTCCTGTATCCGTGGAGATGATGGTGGGGTGTGTGATGGGCAGTGGGCGGTGGGGGTGGCCAGGCACGTGGAACCGTAGACCACACCATTCAGCTCTTGTGTGCCGGGCACCGTGCTAGATCCAGCCTCCGCTCTCAGCTCTGGGTCTAAGGAAAACTACACTGGGCTTAGAGGTTTACCACCGGGTACCATCAGGGGTACTGTAGGAGAGAGCACCTTAGCCAGGAAGGCTTCCTGAAGGAGGTGGCAGCTGTGGTGAACACCCAGGGACAAGCAGGAGCCAGCCCCGTGAGGCAGGGAGGGTGCCCTCCAGAGGGTCCCATGTTGAAGTGCGGGAGTGAAAGGCATCATAGCGAGCACCTCACCCTGTATCACTATCCCAAGTGGAATCCCAAGTCCTTGTTGACGGGTCCTTGGTCAGAAGCTTGTAGAGAGGTTTGGAGCCTCCCAATACCCGGAGGCCAGGTTAGTTGTATCATCATAGACCCTGTTATGCGTGTGCGATGAGTGTCAACGGCTCTTCTCGCATCTAAGATAAATGAGTATGTGTGAGATCGTTGTAGAACCTGGATTTGTGAGAACTGGATTAAGATGGGTTCCCACTATTCATTTTCAATCTTCTCACCCACCAAGGAAAGTGCGTGCGTTCTCCTGTGTATGGGGCAATGGGCCAGATGTGTGAAGAAACAGCCGTACGCAGTTCCCCACCCCAGAGAGTCGAGAAGCTTAGCGAGGAAGGAGCCATAACCAGAAAGCAGGGTGGTGGGCTCAGTGGCAGAGCGATGCTTCGGGTGGGGGGCGCTGTGGAAACACAGGAGAGGGGTGGGGTCGGAGGGGGCAAGCCAGAGGCCTTCCGCGGCCTGCGATGGCGAACCGAGTCTTCAAGGGCAGGTGGGCAGCAGGGCCGGTTCAGGGGTCGGGGCGAAGCAGGGGCGCGTTTGAAGCGCGTTGAAGGCAGATTCGATGGGAGGAAGGGAAAAGCCACAGAAGCAGTGAACGGTGTGGCAGCTGTGTGGTCACATCTTGTTCCCTGAGACAGCTGCCGTTAGAGTGACCAGGACCCTGTCGCTTGTTAACAAGTACACGAATGGAGACGGAGGGCGTTTTCTTCTATGACCTTCTTCCCGGTATGTGATAGCACTAGGAGGAAGTTCTGTGTGGCAACACTTTGGGAGAGAAGTGTGAGCTGGCGTCTGTGGCCTTGGGCTGGTTGGGAAGTCTGGATCTGGAAGCAGGTGTAGCCTGACGGGTCTTAGGAGCTGAGCTGGGAGGAGCCCCCCTGAAGGCCAGACGGCCCGGTACTTCTGACCCCCAGACAGGTGCTCTCAGAAGCAGGCTGCGCTCTGTGTTGTGGGCCGTTGTTGGCAAGGTGGTGAAGCAAAGAGACGTTTCATGTCCAGTGGTATTGTGGTTATTATTCTTTATTTGAGAGAGAGAGAGAGAGAGAGGGAGAGAGGTGGGGGGAGGAGCAGAGAGAGAGGGAGACACAGCATCCGAAGCAGGCTCCAGGCTCTGAGCTGTCAGTGCAGAGCCCAACATGGGGCTCGAACTCACAACCTGTGAGATCGTGACCTGAGCCGAAGTCGGGCACTTAACCGACTGAGCCCCCCAGGCGCCCCGGTGTTGCAGTTACATTTACTCCTCCAGCGATTATAATGCCCGCCTTTCCGAGTTCCTTCCGGGTCTTCCCTCACCATGCGTGGTCCATTCCAGTAACGCTCTCCAGCCCTGAGCCGGAACCTGCCTCCCTGTGGAATGTGCCCCTCATCTCTGCCCAGACCTCTGGAGTTGCCAGGTCTGCCCCTCCTGCCAACCAGCTCTGTTGCTTCCGTGGGGGAACACAGTGCAGTTGCCACAACACGTCCTCAGCGTCTCCTTGAACCATGAAACTGCCCCGTGGGGTAGGTCGCCCTGATTCATGTTTTACAAGTGAGGAATCCAGCTCATGAGGTTGGCGTGGTTACCCCAAGGCCATCCTCCTGGCGGGAGCAGGGCCTCAGAATTGGGACTTTTGCTGCAGACCTGCAGTGTAGACCCCACACTTCGATAGGCCGCAGCTCTCCTGTACACCCTGTTGTTGGTGAGTTTGTTCATAGGCTCAACCGCATCTGTATTTGTTAGCACTTGGCATGTGCACAGCGCCCTGCCGGGTGCCGGAGCCACATCAGTGAGAGAGCCCCGGCCTCTGCTCTCCGACCACACAGCCTGGAGGCCGTGACCGTAGCATTGGACACGTACGCACGCCCTTCCACGTCATCCTTGGCGGCTGGAGTAGACAGGCCTGCCCAAGGCTGGTGCGGGGGGCCTTGCGGCCGGGGAGGTGGGTCGGGTGGCTGCAGAGGGTGAGCAGGCGGTCAGAGGGGGACGGGCACCGAGTGGGCCTTCCTGTGGTCGGGCCTGAGCAGCCGCCCCGCGCATGCCCAGGTGTGTGGAGGTGGGGCCTGGAAACTGGGCGTTTTTCTGCGGCTTCCACGCTGACAGAGCACCAGGCACTTTGACTCGATCCTGGCTTGAAAGCAAAGCCCTGGTCCTTACCGGAGCTTTTGGCCCTGCCGAAAGCATGATACGCCTGTTTTTTTTTTTAAATCCCTGACTTGAGATTCTGCTTCCTTATTCTTAAAAAAAAAAAAAAAAAAAAAAAAAAAAAGAGCAAGAGATGGGTGTTGCCCACAAGGGGCACCTGCAGGGGGTTCCCGGGGGGTTGGTGCGGGTGCAGTGTTAGAGGGGAGAACACGTGGTAGTGACCGGCCCTGCCAATCCCCCGAGTGCTCTTTCAGAGCCATCCATGTGCCCCCTCGGGAGAGCGGAGCAGCCACTCGCAGGTTCCGTCACGCATGATGTTTTGTCTGGGACCCGGGGCGCTTGGAGTGCCGTGGGGGCTGCCCTCGTCGGTCTCGCGCAGTTCGTGAAGGACTTCCGCGGTTCCCTTGAGTTCCTCCCGCACTGGCCCAGCTGGCTCCTCTGTTCCTGCTATGCCGGGCCCCAGGGACTTGACACGGCCTTCTCGGGCAGCTGCCCCCGCCCACTCTATCCTTCAAGGTCATTCTTCCTCTAAGACCCCACTTCCCGTGTGTGCAAGTGCACAGGCCCTCCTTTGCTATAGAAATTTGACTGTCCGTCCCTGTAAGACTGGGAACTCACAGAATAGCAGATCGGGGCATGTTAAGGAATTTGCAGAGTTTTTACGGTCGTGTCATGGTCCCTGCTCGTGCTCTTGACTGTAGGGCAAGAGCCTGAGTGCAAGTGCTCCATGGACCTGGCCCCGCGCACACAGCACTCACTAGGCTCTTCCCCGTCTCTGTGATTTGGAGAGGCCAGCTTAGATGCTGCCCTTGCTTCGACTCCGGGCCTGGCCACGTGTTCCCAGGGCCCCCTCTACCCTGGGCTTTCCGCATGTCGGTTTGGGACTGCGAGGGGCCAGTCTGCACCGATACAGCCAAGTAGCTCCTGGGCCATCCGGGACTGGGCGTAAATTGTATTTTGCAGTTCTACAAAGGAAATATAATTAGCTGATCAAGTACGGGTAGGAGTGCAGGGCTGGGGCCTGAGAATTTGCCTAACACAAAAGGCTTAGTCTAATTTGACACGAAGGGCTGGAAACTGCCTTCCCCGAAGACAGAGAAGTAGAGGGTGGAAAAGGGGCCCACACGGTCCCCAGTGCTCCAGGGAAGAAGGGTCTCAGGGAGCTCAGAGCTCCCCGTCTGCAGTCACATGAGCATCCTGTCACTCCTAGGCGGTGACTAAGTGGAGGCAGAGGCGAGCATTCTAGATCCCTGGAGGTTGTCGGAGTTGGCCTTGGCAGCAACGGCGGTCTGTCACGAGCAGACTCTTTTGTAAACGCCTGAAGAATTTTCATAATAATCCAAGGGGACCCTCTGATAAAGCCCTTTCTTTCCCTCTGTGTTTTTCAGTGGCGCCTGTCTCCAAAGTCATTAAGTGTCATTTCACTGGTGGGGTGAGCAAAACAAAAGCAGATTAAGCTAGGTTTTAAAGCGCAGCTGTACAAAGGTACAGAAACAGAGGCCCGGAAATGAGCTCCAGTAATGGTGTTGGCACCCTCCCCACCCCCGCCACCCTCGGACAGGAGGCCCGGCTGGCTGCCACCACTCGCTTGCGTCCCCTGGAGTGCGTGTGGCCTTGTGCCAGGAGTGTGCCAGCCATTGGCGGCCTCACCCCTGCAGCAGCATGGGCGTGAGGTCAACTGCTTGCTCTCTGTCTCCCTGAGAGCCACAGCTGAGACCTGGTGTTTATGGTGCTCCACCCACACTTCGGTGGGGTCAGAGTCCCCTGTGACTATCTCCAAGTAGAGGTCACTGGTGACCCCCTCTGGTGAGGGCCGGTCCCAGGCTCCCATCTTCTAGAATCCAGTGGTGAGCGGTCCGTACGCGGACGGCCTGAGAGCTTCTCCCAGATACACATACAGCAGCCAGACCCAGGTCAGGTGGTGGTTTCCCCCTGCCAGCTGGCCAGGCGGGGTAAAGACAGAGAGGGAAGACCGTGCTTGGGCCGTGGATCCTAACTCCAAGGCATCTGCTCTTTCCTCCCGAGTAGTAAAAGCTGTACCATCGGGATGGTTCTCCGGCTGTGGAGCGACACGAAAATCCACCTCGACGGAGATGGGTAAGGAGATCTCTTTAATTCTTCCACTGTGGACTTTGAAACACCAAGCTACTTTGGGCATTGTTGGGTAATCATCCACAGGGTCACATGTGTGATGCGCTCATTACATCGGGAGAAACAGCATGCCCCTTAGTGAGCCACACAAGGAGGGGGACGTTTTGGCGTTGCACAAGGGCATTTGGGTCACAAAGTAGCAACGGAAGGGTATTCACAGGAGGTCCGCTGCATGTGAAGTTCAAGAGCAGCAGGCAGCTGATATTCACACGTTTACCTTGATGTGTTAGATGAATACTCAGTACGTGCCCTCCAGGTGGAGCTGGTCTCTGTAAGTTTGTAGTTGGAAAGGACACGGCAGGAGCCCCGTGGTCTGTGGGGGTGCCGGGAAAGACAGACAGACAGCTGGCAGGCGGAGCAGCATTTCAGGTGCCTCTCTGGGGGGCTGCAGAGGAGGAACCCTTCCGTTTGGCCTGGGCAGGTAAACAAGAGACTAAGAGCCATCCGGGTCCCACAGACATTTGCTTCCAAGGGAAATACGCGGGTTCTGCCATGAGTCGAAAGGAGTGGAGTAGAAGTTTATCCCTCCACTGAGATTCCAACGGTAAAAGTTACCTTGCCTCGTAGTTAGCATTCGGGGAGAAAAAGTAAAATGTGACTTTTTGGGGGGGGGGGCGGGGGAAAAGGTAGGATTATGGTTCTACTTTTTTTCCTTCTTAACCTTTTGCCTTCCATGAATACATTTCCCATGCAATTGCAAAAGTAACGGATGGCACACGTGGGGCAGGAAGTAGCCGCGGTGGGCTGCTGGGACGGTGGCAGGAACGTGAACGAGATGGCGTCAGATGGCATCGTTGCCCTTGCCAGGGTTTGTGTTTTTGACAGACCTCACATAGCTGGGTTGGAAGCGAACGTTCGTTTTGTTTTCCTTTTTCTTTTTCTTTTTCTTTCTTCCTACCGTTGCCCTTATTGGACGCAGTGGGCTGGCAGTCCCTTATCAGGAAGCACAAGACGCACTTGTCCTCAGGGTGTCCATTCGAGCCGCCGTCTCGCTGTGGGTACAGGGTCCAGTATCTCACCACGGTTCCGTTCTTTTCTGTTTGTCTTTCTCAGCGGGTTCAGCGTCAGCACAGCGGGACGGATGCACGTCTTCAAGCCCGTGTCTGTCCAGGCCATGTGGTAAGTGTGGTTTTAGAGAATTACATCGCCTTTGAAATTTTTTTTTTTTTTTTTTAGCTGCCAGCATGAATCGAAAGACCCCCTTCGATTTTAAGGCTCATTTAGGTGTGTGCGTGCGTGTGCGTGCGTGTGCGTGCGTGTGTGTGTGTGGCACAAAATGTGCATAACATAAAATGCATCATTTTAAGCATGCAATTCAATGTACATCCATGATGTGCAAACATAACCATCCATTTCTGGAGCTTTTCCTTCATCCCAAACAGAAAGTCTGTGCCCATTAAACACTCATGCCCTCTCTCCCCAGGCCCTGGTACCCTCTCTTCTACATTCTGTCTCTCTGACTCTGCCTATCCCAGGTCCCTCCTACAAGTGGAATCATACACTCTTTGTCCTTTTGTGTCTGGTTTATTTCACTTAAAATGTTGACGAGGTTCGTCCATACTGTAGCAAAAAAAAAAAAAAAAAAAAAAAATTTTTTTTAAGGTCATTTATTTTAAGAGAGCAGGCACGCGAGCAGGGAGGGCCAGAGAGAGAGGGAATCCTGAGCAGGCTCTGCGATGTCACCTCAGATCCCAACATCGGGGCTTGAACCCACGAACAGTGAGATGATGACCTGAGCTGAAATCAAGAGTCAGATGCTCAAGCAACTGAGCCACCCAGGTGCCCCCGTGTCCGAATCCTTTTTAAGGCTGAATGTTATTCCCGTCTGTGGTTAGACACTATTTTTCTGTTTATCCTTTCATCTATTGATGGGCATTTGGGTTTTTTCCACCTTTTGGCTACTGGCGAAGTATCTGTTTGAGTCCCTGCTTTCAGTTCTTTTGAGTATGTACCTAGAAGTGGGATTTCTAGATCACGTTAATGCTGTGTTTAACTTTTTAAGGAACCAAAACCATTTCCCACAGCGACTGCACCATTTTGCATCCCCCCTGAGCCGTGCACGAGGGTCCCAGTTCCTCCACGTCCTCTCCAGTGCCCCGTTATTTTATTTTATTTTATTTTATTTTTTCATGATGGCCCGCTCAAGGGGTGTGAAGTGGTATCTCATTATGGCTCTGATTTATATTTGCCTAATTAATTACTACTGAGCATCTTTTTGTAGGCTTATTGGCCATTTGGGTATTCTTTGGAGAAATGTCTATTCAGGCCCTTTAGCCGGTTAGGAATGGGGTTGTCTTTTTGCCATTCCGGCTGTCCAAATGTCATTCCAGCACAGATTAGCTTGTCCTTCGGGCCTGGCACACACTCGGTTTGTGCCATCCAGGGAACGGCACTCTGCCAGGCAGCGGGCATCTGGGAGGGCATAAAACAGAACATAATTCCTGTCCTCGTGGGGTTTAAAGTCTATTGAGGGAGGTGGCCGTAGCACAGACAGAGTCCCATGTTGTGCCAGGGAGTCCTGGGAGCGTGTTCTCACAGGGGCCTTTTCTGCCCTGGGACGCAGGGTGCAGGGCCTCGCGCACGCTTAGCCTGGAGGATGACGTAGCCGTGGGTAAAGTCTGCACCGGGTGAAACGGGTCGTGTCCAGCGCTTCTCCCAGCCCAGCGCAGGCATCTGAGAGCCCTCCTCATCGGGGGCGGGGGGGGGGGGGTGTGTCGCACAAACCACTTGTGCAGCAGACTCAACACAACAGTGCCTCTCTCCAGTAATCTGAAAAAGCCTCAGGAAAAAGCCGGTGGGGCCTGAGGAGAAGGGTTCTGCCCCAGTGTTTCAGGGTCATTACTTTTTTCCTCTGGGCCAGCAAGAGTTACCCAGAATTCTCCCATGGGCCACAAATCGATGTGGTGCTTCATTTTTACCTCGTCCCTTACTCTACACCACTCCCGATTCAGGATCATTCTGGGGAAAATCACAAAATCCTAATTCTCTCCATGTCCTGGATGTTCCTGGTGCCCCCGGATCGTTTCTTGTCTCTTTCTCTACAGGCAAGTACAAAATAGGCCCCCATGTTTTTCCAGAACTTAAGGAGCAAAACTAAATGTAGCAAATGTGCGGTTCCAGCCTGTCTCCTCAGGCAGCCTGGAGACGGGACGGGCGTGTCTGGGAAGCGTGCCCCAGAAGGCGGTGGCTTCTGTGCCGTCTCCGAGGACTCTCGCTCCTCTCCGGGGCTTCCCGCTTCCACTCTTCGTCAATGCCCAACTCACCCCATCCACTGAGAAAGTTTCAGCCTCGATTTTCGTAAAAAGAGTTTTAGAAAAGGGACCAAGCTGACCGTTATTGTGTACGTTTTCCGTGTTGTTCCTTCCACCCCACTCCTTCCCGAACCCCATCTTCATTTCGTTCCTGTATTAACCTGAGTTTCCAGAACCTCATTCCCCCGAGAGACCTAAGCCTTGAAGCGATTATACACTGATGGGAAAGGGTTCCAGAGTACGTCATTCAGAATGCGGTAAAAGGTCTCCGCTGTTAGTTAAAGACTCCTTCCTGCTCGGAGCCTCCTAGGCTTCGATGTGGCTCCTAAATTCAGGGTATCCCCACAGCCACAGAAATAAATCTTCATTCTTGGGAGTTATGGAGTGTGAAGGGCTCTGTGAGCCAGCCTGAGCAGGCGATAACAACATCTGTACTGTTGCCTTGCTGGGCACGATAAAGGATGTCCCATCCACTCTTGGGTTCAAAGCTTGTGTCACGGAGACTGGGCGTGTTAATCTGGAGGTTCCGGGCTGCTTTGTGTCCCCCCGAGAACCCGGTACACAGCAGGGTTGACTCCGGTAGGAAGTTCTTTAGGGATCGCCCCCTGCTTGGCCCCTATCTCTGCCCCCAGTCAAGGGGAAGGCCCAGCACTCCTGTGCCTCCCCCGGGCCTGACCCTGTCCCCCCTCCTCACCCCAGGTCTGCCCTGCAGGTCCTTCACAAGGCCTGCGAAGTGGCACGGAGACACAACTACTTCCCCGGCGGCGTGGCTCTCATCTGGGCCACCTACTATGAGAGCTGCATCAGCTCCGATCAGAGCTGCATCAACGAGTGGAACGCCATGCAGGACCTGGAGTCCACGCGGCCCGACTCCCCGGCCCTGTTTGTGGACAAGTAAGTATGGCGCTGCCTTGCCCACGCCGGCCGACCCGGAGTCTGCATGAGGTGACACCTGCCCTGCAGTCCGGCGACCGAGGGCCACCTCTCCCAGGACCAGCGTTCCGAGCGGGGGTCCCTAACCTGCTGCCCGTGGGTGGTCTTTGGCTCCGCGATGGTGTGACCACCCTCCCCCACCCCCCATTCAAATCAGAGACGGGTTCCAGCGTGAATGCATTTCTGGGGCACAGCTCCCTAACTCCTGTCAGCTTCTCAGAGGAACTTGCGGCCCACGTGCGTCACTGGCTCTTGGGCAGTGCCCTGGGGTCTGGCCTTTCCTCTTCAGGTGGCTCAAGACTCAATTTCCAAAGCCTTTCCCTGTGCTCCTAGGAGTATTCTAGAGCCATTGTCCTGGGATCCTAAAATACAACTGCACCAGCACTGGCCAAGGGCAGCCTGCCTTAGAGGCCACGATCGAGTGGCCTATGTCACGTGGCCTCCAACAGAGCTCAGGTGGCCTGAGGCCACATACACTAAATGAGAAGTCTGGGTCCAGAAGGAAGTGGCCCTTCTGTCTTGGTTAGGACTGTCCTCCCCCTGAGTTGTATGTCCCTCTGGGACTGCATTAAGAGGGCCATGGACGGAGAGGTCAGCCTGAGTGAGGAGAGGACCAGAAGCCACATTCCATAAAGCCTCAGATTATGAGAGGTTTGGGGAGAACGTTAGTTGTCTTTGAGTACATAAAGGGGCGTCCTGTGGAAGAATTATCCTGGTCTGTGTAGAACCAGGGCTGATGGGTAGAAGTTACTGGGAAACGTGTAGATTCTCCACGTTAGAAGGCCATCACGGGGGGGCGCCTGGGTGGCGCAGTCGGTTAAGCGTCCGACTTCAGCCAGGTCACGATCTTGCGGTCCGTGAGTTCGAGCCCCGCGTCAGGCTCTGGGCTGATGGCTCGGAGACTGGAGCCTGTTTCTGATTCTGTGTCTCCCTCTCTCTCTGCCCCTTCCCCGTTCATGCTCTGTCTCTCTCTGTTCCAAAAATAAATAAACGTTGAAAAAAAAAAAAT